GATAACCTCTCCAGAGAAACAAGTTTGGTAATATTCTTCGGACACACACATCCCCACCTGGTTACTGTCATCAGCACTTGAAACCAGTAGATAAGTGAGTAGTGTTAGGTTAAGTATTTCTTTTGGTAACTTAGTCACTTTCGTCTCTGAAAGATCTAGAGATACTCTAGGTTTTTCAAGGACCCAATGGACTTCGGAATGATTTTTACTCCTGTCTTCCTAAGACTAAGAGATTTGAGATGATATAACCTTAATACTTCTTCTGGAAATTTTTTCAACTGTGTGCCTTCCAAGAAATCTAATACGTCAGTAGCCTAGCATCATCTAACAACTTAGATAGCGATTGTTTGGACGAAGATTCTTCAGATTTGAAGTTCACCAAGGATCATATATACTTGCAACAGGCACTTTCCAGTGTCTTAGATTTGAAATCATGAACAGCTAGGCGTCTAACTCTTTTGGTCCAGCACCCTGTTTGTTCCCTTGAGGCATTCCATTGCATTTTTCCAAAATTTCCTTACCAACATTTTGTAGGTGGGCAGGACAAGATTTGTCTTTAAAGGTCCTTTTGCAAAAAAGAGTCCATGAGTCTATAGAAGACAAAGGCTGTATTTCATGCTCATAGCTCCGGAACTCAACAGGAGAGGCACGTGCTACATCTACTATCCTGGTAGTGACCATCACATGGCTACCACAATTTCCGTCAGGTAATGTGAATTTCACAGCATCCCGAGATTTTGGATCCCACACATCCTCAAACACAATTAGATACCTCTTACCACTGAGAAAGTTTTTAACTTGCAGTTTGAGCTGATGAGTACTTGTCATCGATGAGACTTCTTGGGGCACAGGTTTTCCAATTTCCTGATGCAGTTGCTGAATCAAGTCTTTGAGTAGCTGCATCATATCGAAGTTCTGGGAGACTGTTACCAAAGCAATAATAAGGAATTGCCTTTTGATTTCTGGATCCTCCGCGACTTTCTTAACCAGCATTAGTTTTGCTGAGGCCTTCCATGCCATGAACTGAAACAACTTTGAGATCAGAGTTATCATCAAGCAGTTGAGAAATCAGGGACTGCTTCGGGTGATTAATGCCCACCAGCCTTTCTTCATCCACAAGAAGAGCCGCATCTCTATAGTCATCCGGTGAGTTGTTCACAGCCGAAGAAGAAGAAGCTGAGACTTGGTTAGGAATACCATATTCACATTGGTATCTCTTGTGACTTTCTGAAATACTAATGATCCTGGACTCAATGGCTTGTATTTTGCTTGGAAGTTCATGTCGTGATCTCAAATTCTTGATGGAGTTGATAAACATTCGAGCAAGTCCGCGATGGTGAGAGAAGCGCATCAGGTATTCATCCACAACATCCTGAGCATCATAAGTAACATCACGCACTTGCGAAATCCATGCTTCAAGCCGAGGATCTTCTTCTTCTCTGTCTTCAGTGAATGCTAAGAAGGCTTGCATATGCCCAAGTTCATCAACAATGTACTGGAACTCCTGTGAAAGAGATCCTAACAAGTTTGCCTTTTGTACAATTAAATTTGAGAGCTGATCTAACACAGGGGTAATCATATCTATGCTCATCCTCCAGAAAGATTTGCTTCCCAATGCAGAATGATTAGGGTGTTAGGCTTCAGCTTCCTTGAGTTTCAGAATCCTTGAAACGATGAAAATCTAGTCCAACCAATCACCATAAAATTCTTGTCAAATATCTTACCCCCTCTGTCCCGAAATTATTATTAGATTGAAGTCAATACTAAAATAAGAACTTGTGCTTAACTGTGAATGCATATCGATCATATCAGCTACGCTTGTAAGTTATCATAACAGATTGGTTTACTGAAGGAGTCATTTTAACTGCGGAGAATTATGAATTTGTAAATCGTAATTCGTCCTCTACTGAAAAAAAGATAATAGTTTCTGAACGTAGTCTGCTGAAGTTTCACACTGACTAAATAACCAAGATAGATATATTTCCATAATTTATCACGTAAATCATATAGTGAAGGGCAACAAAAATCAACCAGGTTAAGAAATAATTGACTGCCATAAGAAAAACCACAAAGCAATGAAAAGTTCTGACCTCCTTGAGGTGAAATCAGCGTTCTTCTAGATTTTCCGAGAAATTAAGCAAAAAGGTCACCAAAGATTGCCCATTTTATCTTCCGCAGGTGACTATAGAACAGAGCCCCAAACAGACGATAATCTGAAGTCTTAATCAAGTAATCAACGAACCCTTTTCGGCAGGAAGTAATATTTGCTAGGAAAGAGCCAGAAAACTAGCTAGAAACAAGAAAGTTATAAAGAATCTCTCTACAATTTGGTTGTATTTCTCCATTGTTTACCTGTCTCCACACGGATTCTTGATGATTTTATGCGTATAAAAAACGACTTCCATTTTAACATCAAGAATTAATTCAAACCGAAAACGACCACCAGGAAAGCAATACTTATGTTAAAGCCGAGATACGTCAAGAGGATAGAATATCAATTAGTTGTGATTTCTTTTTTTGTCTACAGCCTGTCAGTCGACTTTGGTTATTCAGTTAATTAATCCATTTCAATTGATCGCTCGTTGCGGATAAGAAGAACATCATAGGTTTATTGTAATTACATTTTTTTCTTGTGTGGTTTTTGGATTGAACTTTCAACCTCAGTAATAATAAAACAATTTCACTCCCACATTCTTTTTTTTTGGTCAAGGGTAAGCTTTGTATATTTCAACTGCACACAACACCATTACATTTCCTGCACTATTACATAAAATACTATACAAGTATGCCTACGTTTGTCAAAAAACTAACTTCTGATGGTTTTCTTTTCCTATACAAAAACTGAATTCTGCAAGTTATGTCTTCTTTAATACTCCTAGCTCTCACATGTGCTGCTGTTTCTTGCTTTGTGACTCTTCTTTGGTTCCGCTCCATCCAAGTCTGGTAAATAACAACATTCAAACAAGCCTGGACAATCCATTTCTTGACTGTGTTATGTCTCCAAATGCGGCTGATTCTTCTAACCTGCAATCCTCTTACCACATTTTGCACCCCAAGCCAATCCCTGATCTCCTGGATTATTTCTTGAGTATATGGACACCTGAAAAATAGGTGTCTAGCAGTCTCTTCTATTCTCTGACACAGCAAACATTGATCATCATCAATGTGAATCCCCACCTTCTTCAGTCTCTCCACTGTCAAGAGTTTGCCTTGCCAAGCAAGCCAGCTAATCATGCTATGCTTTGGCAGGCTATACTTACTCCATACAATCTTGGCAGGTTGAAAAATCTCACCTTCATGCCTTAACCATTTATATCCAATTTTTGCAGTATACTGGCCATCTTGAGCTAAATGCCTTCCATCAGCTCTCATCTTCTCATAAAACTGATATTTCAGCTTGACTAATTTCTTCCAATGCCTACTACTACTCTAAGGGGCAGTATATACTTCCCAATTTTTGTTCTTGATATAATATATATGCAACCATTTGATATACATGCTATCTTTTTTCTGAGCAATATCCCACAATTGTTTCCCCAACAGTGCTTTATTCCACATTGCAGGATCCCTTATGTTTAATCCACCTTCTCCTTTTGGTCTGCATACTAAGTCCCATGCAACCAGATTCCAAACTTTGCCATTCTCCTTCCTTTCCCACAAAAATTCTCTACAACACTTCACAATATCCTTAATCACATTCTGAGGTATCAGGAAGATGCTTGCCCAGTAGACATTCAGGTTGAGCAAGACTGAGTTGATCATCATGACTCTTCCAGCATATGATAGATGCCTAGTTGACCAGCTGCTGATTCTTCCTACTATCTTCTCAACCATCACAGCACAATCATGTTTAGTCCAGGATGTTGGTGAAATAGACATACCAAGATACTTCATGGGAAAGTTCCCAATTCCAAATCCCATAATTTGCTGAATTTGCTCCTGAGTTGACTGATTAACTCCACCAAAGTATATACTAGATTTCTGTAAGTTGATACTCAGCCCTGTTGTAGCTGCAAAGTGATCCAGAACCTTTTTAATTCTCCTAACAGTGTCAATCTCAGCCCCACAGAAGATGAGCAGATCATCAGCAAAAATAAGTGAGACAATATTCAGTTTGTCACAGAACACATGGTATTTGAACCCTCCTTTCTCAGCCTCATGTTTAAAATGCCTGGTTAAGTATTCCATTACCTGCACAAAGAGCAGTGGGGACATAGGATCTCCTTGCCTTAATCCTACTTGCCACCTTATCCAGATCCTCCCATAATTTCATTCTTCCTTGTAACAAGTTATGATCAGTACACCATCTAATTAGTAAAGCTTTATGATCAGATATTCCTTCTGGAAGAACAGTTGTGAATGCTGCTTCATAATGATGGAACCAGGCATTGTTGATCAAGGTTCTATCTAATTTGGAGAAAATTCTATTATTTCCCATCTGTCTAATACTCCATGTAAACTTCCCTCCTTGTGACTGCATATCCCCCAATTCATATTTCTCCACCCACTCTTTAAAATTCTCAGTGTCTAAATTTACTTCATTCAACCCCCAAACTCTTTCATCAGAATATAAGATATAGTTAAAATCACCCATTATCAACCATGGCCCATCAATCTTACTTGCCACCTTATCCAGATCCTCCCATAATTTCATTCTTCCTTGTAACAAGTTATCAGCATATACCGTGGTAACATAGTATTGCTTACTACTTTGCTTTTCCTGAACTATACAGTGAATCACCTGGTTTGTCATTCCCTTCAGTTCCACTACATATTCTTCTTTTCTCCATAGAACTAGAATTCTGCCTTTTTCATCAACTGTATGATTACTTAAGTAATCATAATCTTGCCATTTTCCCAACATAAGCTCTTCAACCTTCTCTCCTTTTAATTTGGTTTCTAGTAATCCCTCAAAACCAACTTTATTCACAGAAAGGCACTGTATCACCTCCCTGTGTTTCAAAGGGCTGTTAAGCCCTCTGATGTTCCATGCTAAGATATTATTCATGATTACTAGGCCCTATATTAGGGTGACTAGTATCAGAACAATATACCTTATTAATGGAGTCAACTTTCTCCTTTAGCCTTCCTTCAGGAATTTTCCTACCTAGTTGATTCAGGATGTAGATGGATTGATCAGACTTGTCATGTTTCTCTCGTCCTGTATCTTTCCTTCTATTTGGTGATAATTGATTCTCCTTCTTACTTGGGTTGTGTGTTGTCTCTTGCCTTTGGTCAACAGCCACAACTTGCACAGGCTCCTTCATTTTCACTACATCTTTCAGTGGTGCATTCAGTTCCTTCCAAACCTGTTTCACAGGCACTCTGCATTGTGTGCTCTCATGTCCATATCCATGGCAGTTTTTGCATTGGATGGGCTTCCATTCATATTTCACTACCTGTTCCTGAAGATTCCCTTTCTCATCTTGAAACCATATCTTCTCCCTTACTTTTTCAGAGATCTCCACCTCCACTAACAGCCTTGCATATGATGTTCTATCCTTCAATGCAGTCATGTCATCCATTTCCAATGGATTTCCTATCATGCTGGCCATCCTACTAAGTGAAGTAGGGTTCCAGTATCTCAGTCGTAGCTTAGGAAATTGAAGCCACACTGGAAATTTCTTGATTTCCTCGATATTGACATCCTCAGCTACATTCCACTCTTTCACAATAAAAGGTTTCCCATCAAAGTGGTACACATTGTGTTGTAGCATCTCTTCTTTTGCTGCCACAGATTTAAACCGAATCACATATACACCTGTTTCCAGCAACACAATCTTTTCTATCCCCAATTTTCCCCAATGCCTACGAATGAAACCAGATACCACAGTAATTGGTGGTCTTGCTCCCAAGATGTAACAGACCACAAAGCTTTTCCAGTGTTCCACTTCCAATTCAACCTCATGCTTTGTAATTTGACAGATCATCCTATCTTCCACCACCACAGGCTCTATAAACTTCAACTTTTTCTCCACCTTATTCAACTTTTTTGGATTAAAGTTCGACCACACATTTTCCACTGGAATCTTAGCATTCAGATCTAGACACTTAGCCAATTCCTTAACTCCAGAACATTCTCCTTGTTCTCTAGTACTCAGTTTTACACAGTTATCATTCAAATTACTACTGAATTTAGAGATCAAACAAGGGGGACTTACTTGAGCTCGAGCTGATCCAGTTGGTGTAAATTCTCCCCGTGGATCTCTTCTTTCTTCCAGCGGCTGGACGTTTCCAGCTTCTGATCCTCCTTCCTCAGCTCTCTTCTTGGATCTTCGCGCCATTGCTAACGTGAAATCACGTTGGAAAGATTAGAGTCAAAGACACACAGTGAGTGTGTTTTCGCCCACACTAGTAGAGAGGAGAGAGAGAGAGTATGTAAACATGACCACTCCCACATTCTTACCAATAGGTTAGAAGTTAGAACAATGCGAAATCGGATCAAGGAAATCTATGGTAATTTTGGGAGTTTTCTACCAATTGGACAGAAAACTATTCACAAATACGTAATGAGAAACGACAATATCCAATCAAAGTCATGCCATCATCGTTGTTTGTAAGTATGTATCCATCATATACAAATAATCAATGTCACTGAATAGTACTTAACCGCAGTTCTTTTTTTTCTTTTTTTTTGAATTTAACCCAGAATCATCAAGTAATGATCTTAATTTTCTTTTTTGCAAGAAATTAGAGTGATAACTGAAGAGCATCAGCTGATCTTCTTTATATTAAGAAAGCAAAAAGTGCATACAGGGATTAACTTACATGAAGGGCCCTAATCAATAACTCAGATGAATGCTTAAAATGATGTCAATTGGCTACTAATTTTGGATAGGATATCAGCTGCAACAACATTAATCTTCCCATCAAGGTAATACTACTATTGTTCTCGTGCGTTGTGCGGCATATTAATCATAGATAATTTTTATAATTAAATTGATTGTTTTTTGGCTGGATAATGATGTCCCTAATATTAAGATATGTTCACCTATTTTTTTATATTATTTAATTATAAAAACTAACAAATATTTCATGTTTATGGTTTACCTTCAAAATTGAATTATTTTTAATAATTGGCAGGACTTTTTTACACAAATTTATGATATAATAAAAATTCTTTAATTTCATACTACTAGGGTCATAAAATTTTATTAAATTATAAATATTATGATTTGATTAATAAACTCATTATTACGCCATCAGTCAAAGAAAAAGTTCAAATTGAGTTTTGAAATTTATTCTAATTTTAGTACAAAATTCACAATTCGATGTAGACTATTTTCCTGGAATATATATACAGTATTTTAAAAGCAATGGAAGAAATCCAAAAAGTAAAATATATTTTGCAAAACCAAGAAATATGAAGATTACATAAAAGAATTGAGGAAGAAATATATTTACTTTAGCAAATTATTTTACATTTATCTTAGTTATTCTATTCTATTTCAGAAAAAAAAAAATTGTTATCTTATTACTCCACTCTACAATTATAACTCTACTTACATGGCAATCCTAATTGGCACATCCACATCATCTCATAAATTTTTAATAATATTTTATTTAAAAAATAAAACTAGAGCTTATTATCAAATTTCTTTTTCCTTTCTTTATTTTTTCATCGTCAAATTCATCGTTGAACCAGGATTCACTTTGTCTTTTTCCCCTATCGTCAGAATTATCGTTGCCGGTCAATTCCAATAATTTGAGTTTCTTGTTGATGCTCTTCACTGGAGAATTGAAATTCCTCTCTCCCCTCAACTTTGCCATCTTTATTTTTCGGAAAAAAATTACAATTTTTCATTACAAATCCTCACCATTGAAAAACTGACCCTTTGCCCAGCTGCGGTCGCTGAAAAAATTAGTATATGACGGGCCTTCTAACTCACCTATATTCATGAATCTCCACCAATTATGCATCAGTTTTAGGGTTTTGTATCCATATCATTATTTCTCTTGGATTGGTCTTATTGTTCCCTTAATTTTCCAAGGTGCTATTATTGGGTGTGTGTTCTTTATCTCTCTTCCTCCGCATGCCTCGCAAATGGAAGTTAAATTTAATATCCGTTTGCAATCAGAAAATTAGTATTGTACAGATTTTAGAAAGGGGGATTAGCGTCTTTCTGGATAAAAAAGATTTAAGATTAACTTCCACTCTTCTTGCTTGCTGGAGTGAAATCAAATGGCATACCCTTTAGCAGAAATGGCAAGTGTTTTCCGTTAGACATTGGTAATGCTTTATTTTGTGACTACATAGGTTATGCATCGGATTCAGCGGGCCAGAGTTCTTCAACAATATTAAACATTGTTTTGATTGAAATTTCACTTGTTTCCATGTAAATTTATACTAATTCATAAGAACTGGAATAGTTTTGGCATGATCCACTATTCTGACGATGAATTTGACGACAAAATAAAAACCGAATCCTGGTTTGATGATAAATTTGACGATGAAAATATTAAAAAAGGAAAAAGAAATTTTATGATAAATTTTGATTTTAATTTTAAATTAAATATCTTTTTGAGATATATGAGATGATGTGGATGTGCCAATTGGGATTGGCATGTAAGTAGAGTTATAGGTAGAGTTATAATAGTAGAGTGGAATATCATCTATAGTACTTAATTAAAGCAGCAAACAAAAAGGACACATGTTAGCCCCACAATGAAAATTTTCCCTCCAAAAGGCTTTTTTAGTACAATATGAAACTGACATGAGGCACTCTAGATTTTCAGAAAAAGACAGCCTTAAACAAACTCCAAATTTACGTCAAATACTCCCAAATAGGATAGTTATAGTGAAAAGTTAAAGAAATAAACGAAAAGATAATAAAATCCCCAATTTTTAGCTCTATTAGGCTTTCAAAAAATCAACCCAAATTCATTCCAGAAAAATCTCTGGATGGATAGGTTTCACAACATAAACTCTTCCCAATCACATTAAATCCCAACAATCCTGCCATTGAATTCGTAAAATCAAAATTCAAGCCATGGCTATTTAGTTTCCATCAAAATATCTTAATACTTCATCGGGAGGGACAATAGAATTATCTTCTCCTTCGTCAATTTTTCACCGAAACAGCCCCAGGCCATATCCATGTATTTCTCCCTAGACGTATTCGACAGCATCTATGAGAAGGTCCTGTAAGACTCGAATCATAACAAGGGACATGGAAATCCAATCGCGGCAACTATCGGAACAACAAGTCGGCGTCAGAACCAGCTGGAACGCTAAAATTCATATTCAGATCTGACCAGGCCGGTACAAAGCATAGGAAGGTACTCACCGCTTTTCTGAATTTGTGTATTGGAAAAAAAAATCCTCTTTTGTGCTTTTGTTGAATCAATCACAGGAAAATTAGGATACTAGAGGACCTATTAGCATTATTATTTTCGTCCTCTGTTTGATGACCAATTGAAGAGGAGATACTTGATTGATAAACAACCGATAGGGAAGCAGCGTCGGTGCGGAACCCAAGAGCACACTACCCTTTTTGGATGAATTAGGGTTCTGACGGTTTTGATTTTTTTTTTTTTTAGATAGGGTTTTTTTTTTCAGTTTCAAACATAGAGAATCACATCTTTAGATTATATGTTCATGCTATTGAATAGGTGAAGATTCATTTTTTTAAAAAATTTTGTTTTAATGTTGAAGCCGGCGGTAGGTATTTGAAAAGGCCTCAATTGCGCTTTGCCGATTACAATTTCGTGAGATCCTGATGAGGTCCAGATGGAAGCCGGCTCGATTGTCGCTTTGTAAGTAAATTCCTATTTGGCTTAAACCTTCTCTTGCTATACGAAAAAAGGCTAGATGGCTCTATAAAACTCTCCGATAATTCCTCAAATGTAAAATTTATAGAATTCATATTTTGATAATTGCAAGTTTTTTCTTTTTATTTAGTGTTGATTTCGGTACAGGGCATTGATTTTGAATCATGGATGACAAGGTATGATTAAGAATCGGATTAGGGGTCGTTAAAGATGAAAGCTCAGAATGAATAAGAAAGAAGAGCATAGCAACCACATTTTTTTGATGTTTTGTTCAATGATACTTTTGCATGCATCATTCTTTGATTTTTCTGTAGTTATGGATGGGAAATACATCAAATAGACTTTGTTGTGGTATTTGTCTTGATTGGTGTTGAAGAAGTGAATGGGGAGGCTCTTCCGAGAATTTGATTCGTATTTTTTTAAGAATTTGTTTCCTAAATTTCTTCCGAGATGTGGTTATTCGACTTGATTTGACTTGGAAGAGTAGCTAGAGGTTAGTTAGGCAACTGAGGAATTCATTTTACTTAAATATTGATAACCAGATGATTTAATATCCCGATATTTTGAGTATAGCTGTAATTTGTTATTAGCTGTCGGACATGTAACGGGTTAAGAACAAAGATTATTCTATACCAATTAGTGTTATTGTTTATAGGCACAATATTCTACATCATCTTACTCCGAAACACAGGCAGTCCCCGAGCATTCGTCCAGAGCAATTATATAAATACATATTTACAACATATATAATATTTAGTTGCAATATAAATATTTAGGGGCTCGCCCGGGCATCCGCTCGGGCCAAGCATCTAGTTACTCTTATTAAAACTTGATTTCTCTTTGAGTAATGATATTCTTTTCTACTATTGTAACTCTACTTATAACTCTACCTATATAGCAATCCCAATTAGCACATCCACATTATCACCTCATAAATTCACAATAATATTTTTTTGTAAAAAAAAAAATAAAAAGATCGCTCTCATCATCAAAATTCTTTGGCCGAAAAATTGAAATGTTTCTCTCTCCTCACGATGTCAGTATGTATTCTTCGGAAAAAATTAGTACCATTTTTCCTCGCAAGTCTTCACAGTCAAAAATTTGATCTTTCGCCGAATTGAAAGCTGACCCTTCCCATATTTTCCGGTCGCCCAAACATCGAAGAGGCACGGAAAGGCAGCAGTTATTGGGGTCGGGATGCACTTCTCTTTTCATAGCATATGTTAACATTCATTATAAGACTCTAGTGAAGGTATAGTTTTCAATTCGCATCGGATATATCATTACTCAAGTGTGTCGTTTAATTTTGATTAATCGATCAGATGTGTAGATAGTATTGGAGCAATATTGGGTTCTAGGGTCTACAAGGGGTCTTCAAATTTGGGTTTAGTCTGTATGTTTGATGCTTGTCCCCATCTTTTGTGCCAAGCAATCTCAAAAAGATTAACAATAGAAAGCAGGTCCCCATCTTTTGGAGTAAAGAGCCAAACTAGAAAAAAAGACTAACCTGATT